AGCCCTGACCTACAAGAGGCTTACATTTGAACATAGAAACAAGGGTGACAGCTAACACTGGTATAAGCTTTAAGACCAGAAAGCATGTTAGACATCATCTGCATGGTTGTTGTTCTGACCATAAAATAAGCCAATGTATGTAAAGTGTTTTGCAAACTTTAATGTGCCATAGAAATGTCGGCTATGATTATCAGGTTGGCGGGGTTGGTAAGGCCTGTGTATGAACGGGGAGACCAAGGCACAAAACAGTTTAATGACTTGCCTGTGTTCACACAGCTCTTAGTGTCATATCCAGGGTTCAAAGCCAGGCCTTTCCTAACTCCAACTCAGTGCTCTGTCCGGTGAATCACTCTGTCAAACCCTAGTTCCTCTGCAGTCTTAAGTGGTTTCCAGAAGATTAGCCAACACTAAGATCACAAAATGTTGGACACCACGCACGATCTCAACAACTGAAATGTCAGCGAAATCCCACCAGGGCATGAGCTAAACAACCTCCCGTACCCCCCCGTGGCAACCACAAGATAAGAAAGTCAGGGCCCAAAGGAGGCATCTTGTGGGGAAAACATGGAGCTGGAAGACTTTCATAATTTAGGATTTTCATTTTCTTTTTATCCTCTGTTGGAACAAAGAGATGAAGTTAGACTGTGATCTTGGGAGGGGATAAGTGAAGACACCAAGAAGGACCAGTTTTATTTGATGCGATTAATGATACTTCCAAGTTGCCCACTGCTTTTTTTTGCCCTGGGGTAAGCGCAAGGCAAGAGAGAGGCTGGAGATGTCAGATCCCCTGGGAAGATGAGTGTTAAAATTCTAGAAACAGGTGTCCCATTTTGGATAGAAAAATCTACCATTTCTGAAAGATATTCTCTTTCCCCAGGGCATCTGCAGTAATGCTCTAAGCCATATGCTAGCAAGGCTTTTAGAAAAGTAGCAGGGCCAAACTGCTAAAATACCATCCTCTGGCAGACTCCCAGCCTTAGAAACAAAGTCTCTGATGCAGGAAATGCCTTTAGAAAAGACCTGAAGCTCACACCCTTCCTCATCTTACGGATGGTCCTCGCTCCCCAAACTATCGTCATGGGGGCCTCTGACTATGGCCTGCTAGGACCGACAAGAAGCTGTGGAGTCAGACAACAATCAACACTACAAGCATTTTTATACCCATTCTCCAGATGAGGTTGGTGAAGTGACTTTGCTGGGGCCACAAGCGGCCAGCGGGGATTCAAGCAGCTCTTCATGACTGCGAGTACTACATTCTCCCCACTGACACCCTCCTTTGCTGGGACATATGGGGAAGGTGCTGGAGAGAAGTGTCTTGTTTTCCTTACGGTTGTCAGCATGTCCTAAGCGGCTGCTCCTACTATGCTTAGCAAAGGTTATCACCAGAAGGTCCACCTCCAGCTGCTGCCTGGCTGATCCACCAAGGCTTCATAGCAGAACTGGGGTCTTCTGGCAGAGCCTTCAGAATCTGGGCGTCCCGTCCCACTCAGGCACGGACGCTAAGGCAGAGTTTACAGGTATTGGGAGGAATTTGGGGGAAAGCTCAAGCAAGTCACTGCTTTTACTCTGCCACCTTGGCTCCACCTATACTAAGGCGGAGTTTAGAGGAGGGTCAGGGTCAAGGATAGGGTTGAATGTCCATAGTCTCCAAATGGTTGGACCACTTGCCTGTCTTTTCTGCCTTCAGCAGCTTGGAAGAGCTTGCTCTAAATGCTATCATTTTTGACTTACTTGGAAGTAGTAAAGAATAGAAACAAGGAAAATTCTTTACACAAGGATTTAACTTTCCTGATCATCAATTTCACCTCAACTTAAACAGAAAAGCAGAGCAGTACAGTGGTTAGAGCCCTGGGCATTCCCTCAGGAAGGCCTGAAGTCAAAACATCATCTATCATTTTGTTTTATCCTCTATTGGACACTTTCTCATATACCTTTCTGTGCTATTTCTTGTTATACTCCAAAACATTTGTGTTCATTAATGACTCAAGTTCAAAATTTAAAAAAAAATTTTTTAAAAGACCCTAGATTAAATCTTGCCCCTAACACTGAAGAGTTGTGTGACCCTGGACAAGTCATATCACTTGTCTGACATTAACAACCACATCACTAAAATGGGATAAAAAAACAAAACAAAACAAAACCCACCACCCTTGAGCATCTCCAGGACAGGGTTGCTGTCAGTATCCTAGGAGAAAATACCTACATGGTGGTTTGCAAGCTTTAAAATACTCTATAAATGCTGTCATTAATACGTTTCAATCACACAGCCACTGAGCTGGAGAGCTTTTATAGGTGGGGCAGATGGAGCAGGAAGCAGAGCCCTCAGACAGGAAGCAAAGCAGACTCTGAATCTGGAAAGCCTTGAGGACAGAGGGAGAAAGTCATCCCACAGTGCCGGTGTCTACTTCGAGGCAGGTGTTGGGCTCAGCCCCGGGGAAGCACACTGGGACAGACCTTACAAGAGGATGTCAACTCTTCAAGGACAAGGACTTCAGGGGTTTGTCTCTGCTTTGCCAATCTGCTAGCACAGTGCCTCATGCTTGGCAGGCACTTAACAAGTGATTAGGAATGACTGGTATGAAACAACATGGAAAACGGCAGAGGCAATGGAGGCTGGAGACTTCACCGACATCTTTCCCATGCAGGAAGTGGTGTTTGTCTCTCCAAGCCAACCCCAACTGTACACTCACTTAGGATGGATCTTATTACAGGACCGTTTTTCTGAAATGCTTTGCTTGAGGCCTCTAAGTTATCACCCCCTCTGAGCCGGCGTGTTGTCAAGAAGACACTCAGAAAACTCTCCTCAAAGACTTGGGAGGAAGCAGCAACATTATCACCAGGCTATTTATTGACCGAATCAGTTGTTAACTGGGGGATGGATGGAGAGGTGTCACCCACCAGAATGGGCTACGCCGTAATTGTTCTGTCCTGTATCACTGACAATACACACTAAACAAAGAGCCTTCCCTGCTCCAGGCCCTCCGTGGCAGACTAATGGATAGTAAATGACACTCAAGCCAAGCCTGACTTCAATTAAGAGTGAGACAGGACGTGCCTAAGAAGCCCCCTTCTTCCTTCTGTGTGGTCCCAGGGCTGCAGAGCGTCATCAGGAGACTCGGGAAGTTATTCTTTTTAGAAAAATTTCAAAGCTTTCATGGGATCACAGGGCCATGAAAGCTAACTCTCTTCACCTTAGAGAGGAGGAAGCGGGCTCAGAGAGGTCAGAGGGCCAGAAAGACAGTCGGCGCCCCCTTGTCCAAGCCTCTCATTTCACAGATGAGGAAGCTGAGACTTGCAGGCTTGCTCAAGGTCACACCAATGGAGCTGGGAGATGAGCCCAGGTCCACTGGCCAAGCTGGCCGCCTCCTCTTTGTCTAAGGCTATGAGAACACGCTCCCTTAGGAAAACAAATGTGCCACTGTGCCTCAGCAAATTCACCTTCGCCCTGACAACTGACAGCCAAGCAAAAGGCTCTCTGCATCCAGAGTCAGGGAGGCCTGGGTTTGAAGGGCACTGCATGGCTCTGGCATCTGGGGCACAAACTTTACCTCTCCAAGCCTCAGGCTGCTCCTCTGTACTGTGGGCATCATTAGACCACCCGCCTCCCTGGGCTGTGGAGTTAGAGGATCTTCCAGGGCTGGACAAAGGGAGCTGGGCTATTACCATAGGCCACCCGGTCACAATCACTGCAGTCATACTAAGACAAGACACAATTCCTGCCTGGATTCACTACTCAGAAAAGCAGTGCCTGGTGAGGCCATGTTGAGACAGAATGCATTCGTGGCATCCCAGGGCGTGGAACCCAAAGGTCAAGGCCCAGGTGACAGATCCCCGAGGAGATGCTCTGACATTAAGAAGAAAGGCCTTTCATCAAATATTTGGGCAATGGAAGACAGCAGCAGAGAAACAAAAGTGCTTTTCTATTTGAATCAGATGATCCGTAGAACAGACACTTACCCAGTGAAAGGCAGTCGAAGGTAGATGCTGACCAAACCCTTACCGCCACCCAGGCACATGAACCCCTCAACACTAACTACTTCTAACTTTGTTTCTGAATCAATCCTCTTCCCTTAGGGGAACCAAGCTGAGCACTTGTACTTGTCTCTGGGCACAAAGGAAAAAAAATGCAGAAAAAAATGCATCGGCATTTTACAAAAAACGCAGATTAAAGGCAGACCTAGGTGGACAGGGTAACACTCTCAGTCATCTTGACATCCCTTTCTCAAGAGGAACCTAACAAATTTTCAGGGCAACCCAGATGTCTTCCAGAAACTGTGAGCCAAAAAGCCCTTCTTTTATATTCATATAAATTGATTGCCCAATACATATAAAAAATAACTGTCTTTGCAAAGCCCTCATGGGCATAGTACTGCTGAATAAAATCATCTGAAAAAGACACTGCAGAAAGAGAGGAGGCCTGAGCTCCCAGCTCTCAGCAGCAAGATCTAGGTCCCCCCGCAGCACTTCTGGATTCTGAGGACTCGGCTCCGAGCCCTTGCCCCCTGCCTGGGCAGCGTTAAGTCCCTTTTCTTTCCTGGTCCTCGCTTCCTCCTTGCTACAATGAAGGGGCTGGTTCTAGGGCTGTCAATGCCTACTCTATGGTCCCCAAATGCTCAGCTCTACATTAGTCAAGAAGTCAAGAGGCAAGTCCAAAAGGTGGCATCACTACTTCCAAGAGTTATTATTTTTTTAACATCAAACTTAGAACATGACAAATATAAACTGCAGGGACTCATATCAGAGCCCCCTCGCTGATGATAAGGGAGATGATTTAGTTCAACCAGTGGCTTCTGCTCCCACTCGAAATTTAATTTAAATATTTCCCTGCCGCACACATTACATCTAAGGACAATAAACACATAATCAGTAGTCGAAGGGAAAATCCAGTGTTACTCAGTTTTCATTACCATGAACAGCAATGATGCCTGGTTTGGAGGGGGGAGGGGACAGTAGACCGCGGGCTACATACAACTAACATGAGGCTCTTCTTGTCTTTCCAGGCTTTCCTACAGGACTGGCCAGGACACAGCAAACTGTGCTACGTGCAGGAACAGCGCCTGCATTATCTATAGGTAAGTCCGCGATCGCGTGAGGAAGAAGTGATGTCCACCCTCCAAAGCCCTACCAGCCCCCAGCCACCATCGCTAGTTGGGGGCAGGGGACTCACAGCCTTGGGGGGGCTCACTAGGCTGGGATGGGAGGAGGGCCTGCATGTGCCGGTCTCATTTGGTCCACCTGAGCATCCTCTAGGACATCCGCAGAGGCACTTTACAACACGTCGGGCAGGCTCTGAGAGGACGTGCCCGGGGGCATCTTTAGACCTAAAGGCCTGGTGTCAGCACCACATCCCCCCAAGGTCTCCCCACTGCCTAGCATCCATCAAAGATCTCCTCAATGCTCTGGGGTTCGCTGATTGATCAGGCTCCCTCCAGTCTGCTGAGCAAAGGGGGAGACCAGAAACTGGTTCAGCTACCTGTTGACGTCCCTGACCTTGATTCTCTTTGGCATCTAGTACAAGAGTTCATGAGGTGGCTAAGTCTGAAGCAGCACATTCAGGGCTGGGAATCCAGAGACGAAAGTGAAACCCCAGTGCCCTGGAGGACCTCAGATACACACACACGCATATTCATACACATTACATCAAGTTGTATCATATTGTAATATGTATACACACACGTGTATATGTATGTACATACATACATGTGTGCACACATACATGCACACATGTGTGTGTATAAGAGGAAATCGTTTGGAGCAATTTGTGCCAAGGGAGTAACCTTCACAAAATTAATTGTTGGGAAAAGAATCACCAGCTCAAGGGACCAGGAAGGTTTTGTGTGGCGGGGGCCGGGGAGCAAAGCTGTGAAGAAGGCAGAGGCTCTAGGGGACGGACGAGGAAAGAGACCAGCACAAAGGCCAGGGAGCATCTGGACCGAAGCTCAGAGCTGGGGCGCTGGGCCCTTCACAGCTTGCTTCGCTGGACCAAAGAAGTCAGGAGGCAGGACTGAACCTTTTGAAATCGGCCTCATAAAAACATCAGCCCACGTTGTGAAAAGCGTGGAGTCTGAATTGTGCCCTGAAGGCAAGAGGCAGCTTACTGAGGAAGGATGCACATAGTCAGGCCTGGACCCTGGGAATCTCCTTTGGCAGCTGCAGTGACTGGAGGCTGGATTGGCAGGTGGGGCAGGGGGGTGCAGGGGCTGGAGGACAAGTCCCTCCATATCTCTGGCCTGCTTCCCTAACTGCAAACTACTGAATGAGCCGCTCTCCCAAGTCTGACATTCGATGGACTGTGGTCCAGTCCCTTTCTTGCCTGCATTTCAGAGCTTCTTAGTGAGAACATTCACGGCTGCCCTTGGAGGGGTCTGTGTATGTCAGGGGGAAATGTTAAAGCATGTATTTCCTGTGAGTCAGGTCGACAGTCATTAGGACGCGCCCTGTGTGCACATATCCTGCTGGGCTGGGCGGGCTCCCAGTCCTCCAAATGCGTGGCACGGTGGCTGGGGAGGGATGTTGACTTAGGGGAAAACAAGAGAAAGCAGCTGCAGATGTTTCCAGCATCTCAGCTACCCAGGACATCCAGAGCCAATTATATGAGTCTGTATACAAAGTCAGGAGACCGTGGATAAGAAAGCAATCTTTAGTGGTCAGCGAAGACTTTGAGGGAAGCGAAACCCAAACTGCTCCTTCCAGGACATAGAATCTGCACGGTTATAGGAATGCAAGGAGGCAGAAATGTCTGGTGGAAGGCCTGGGGTGAGACTGGCTTTAATCAGGCCATGTCAACCCAGGGAACAGAGAAAGGGTCTGTGTCTAGCTGATCAAGGACACAGAGTGAATGCCTGGCTTAGGAGACTGGACTTATGCAGCAACTGAGTCACAACACACTGAGATTTGGGAAGGACCTGGTGAAAACAGCAAGCAAGCTCTATCAGGCAGCATCACAATTAAGCAGTTTTAGAAGGAAGGAGTCTATAGCCCAACATAGTAGTCAACGCCTTCCACTCTGAGGAAGGCAAGCAGAGACTCTTAACAAAGCCAAGTCCAGAGGACACGGTGGCAGAAATGAGAGCTCAGCCTTTCACAGCAACCTTTGCTGAAACTGTCAGACTTTTGTGAGACACAGGAAGCAACATGAAAATAAAAATAGTGATAGAGATAGATACACGCATACATACATACATATATACATACATACATACATACATATATACATATAGACAGTTTATATTTATATCTATATCTATCTATAAATAGATCTATATATACATATAGTGATAGATATACTTATATGTGTATCTATCTACATGTATATCTACATATACATAGATATATACAGACATTTTATACGTATATGTATGTCTATCTATAAATAGATCCATATACACATATGGTGATAGATATACTTATATGTGTATCTATCTACATACATATCTACATATACATAGATACATATATACATATAGACAGTTTATACGTATATGTATATCTACAAATAGATCTATATATAGATACACTTATGTGTATCTATCTATACATATATCTATATATACATAGATACATATAGACAGTTTATATGTATATGTATATCTATCTATAAATAGGTCTACATATACATATATAGATAGATATACTTATATGTGTGTCTATCTATACATATATCTGTATATACATAGATGGATAGATACATACATACATATAGGCATTTAATACTTATATCTATATCTATCTATAAATAGACCTATATATACATATATAGAGAGAAATACTTATATGTGTATCTATCTACATCTATATATACATATACAGACAGACAGTTTATATGTATATGTGTATCTATCTATAAATAGATCTATATATACATATAGAGATAGATATACTTACATGTGTATCTATCTACATCTATATCTACATATACATAGATACATACATACATGCATACATATAGAGTTTATACATATATGTATATCTATCTATAAATAGATCTATATATACACATAGTGATAGATATACTTATATGTGTATCTATCTACATATCTATCTACATATACAGACACATACATACATATAGACAGTTTACACATATATGTATATCTATCTATAAATAGATCTATATATACACATAATGATTGATGTACTTATATGTGTATCTATCTACATCTATATCTACATATACATAGACACATACATACACATAGACAGTTTATACGTATATGTATATCTATCTATACATAGATCTATATATACATAGAGAGATAGATACACTCATATGTGTATCTATCTACACATATATCTACATATACATAGATAGATACATACACACACATACACAAAACATATTCTCCATCCACAGAAGTTAATCACAAAGGCGGAAGCACTAGCATGAGGTGGGCTGGAGAGGGAAGAGCCTCCTGTAGAAGATGGAACTGATCTGAGCCCAGAAGGAATCTAGGAGGTCAAGGCAAGGAGGGATGGCATTCCAGGAATGAGGGACAGCTGGTGCAAAAGATGGGGGTGCCACGTATAGGGAACAGCAACAAGAATTACTAACTCATATCATGCACAGAGAGGAGGAAAGAATGGGCCTGGAAAGGCAGAAGGAGCCAGGGTGTGAAGAGCCTTAAGGGCTAAATAGAGGATTCCATATTTTATTCCAGAGATAAAAGGGAGCCACGGTAGTTTACTAGTTGAGGAGGATGGGGGATGGGGGGAGAGAGATGGTCAAACCTATAATTTAGTAAGATTGCAGGAACGTTCCCATTAAAGTCCATCCAGTAAATACTCACTACAGTCTACCTCTAATTAGAAGGGGACCTTTAGATAAATAAATGGTTTATAACACACTAACGAGGTCACTGGGAAATGGCACTGGCCAAGATGACACCCAAACAGAACCATGGGGTAGTGAAGTGGATGCTGGGTTGGGAATCAGCGTTGGATTCCAGGCTTTGCTGCCTAGTACCAGAGCAGCCCTTCGGCAAGTCATCTTACCTTCGGGGCTTTGGTTCCTCCAAGTGGAAGAGTGGAGGAGACCTTCTTCAAGGTCCCAATGGAGCAGGACTGCTTCTTAAGGAGGAGCACACATCATGCAAGTTCCTTGGTGGCTCAATGATCTCAAAAACCAACCATGTAGAGATATCCAAATGCCCTCTCTCTGCCGACCACCACAAACAGTGACCTGGTGGTGAGCAGGACATTGCTCTTTATTGATAATGCTATTGCCCAGCCAGCCAGATCAGAAAGTTTAAAGCAGGGCAAGCTGGGTCAGGTTGGATTCCTCTTGGCTGTAAGCCACTGGAAGACTTCCAGAATCATGACACACACAGTCAGGAGCAGAGGGCTTGCTATAGACCTAGCGGGCATCTCTGTGTCTGAAAATTACTTTTACCCCCAGGGATAATTCCATGACAGGAATGGTCAAGGCAGGAGGCTGCCATGCTGGTTTGCTTGAGCAGGCAACAGTGCCACCATTTAGTAAGAAGATACTGAAACTTTGTCACCCAACGAGTCATAAGACTGATCCTCCTCTGAAACTCTTTCAGGCAGCCAGTGCAAAATTAGAGGTTTCAGGAATTCAGTGTTGATGTTTCACAGTCATATTTGACCTTGAGTTGGGCCAGCTGCAGATGGAGAAGGCAATAGAAATGATAACAGTAATGAGATTAACTGAGCTCCACACTGGCTATATAGCCAGTGCTATACTTGACCCAGCCAAGCATGGGAGACAGCTCAAGAAACTCAGGTTAATTGGGCCAGTGTGGTAACAAGGAATGGGAAATATCACTGGATGTGGGGTCAGGGGATCCAGGCTTGAATCCCAGACCTGCCATGTTCAAGGGCAAGGTACTTAACTTTGCTAGGCCCTGTTTTTATCTTCTGTAAATAAAGGAGTTGGACTGGATTGGACAATTTCTGAGGATGCTTCTAGCACTAAATTTGTGATCCCTAATCCACAGATTTTGGCCTTCTATCAAAGCAGAGGCTATCAATCACCCATCAAAGCTCATCTGAACTTGATAAAAATGAGACAGGTCAAGTGGGTAGGGTCACTTTTCTACCCTCCCCAAAGGTG